TCTAGTGTCTTTCTTCCATATAGAAAATGTGAATTTTTAACATTTTTTATGTATAAAATTTCTCAAAATTTCTTAAGTGTGACATTACAAAGTTTACAAAACCCTTACTATTTAGTACCGATAAATCCCATTTTTGACGAGCTTTCATTTGGTATAAAATTCATTGTATACTTCTGCCTGGAATAATATCAATGCCTATTCTGTATCTTGGGGTATCAGGTCGATTGCTCACGCCCATATATATGAATTATTATTTCTTATTTAGAAATATGAAACACTGGTTGGTGAACGTGGTATACAATTGAGTGGTGGTGAAAAACAACGTATTGCATTGGCTCGTGCTCTTGTCAAGCAGCCAGTTATCCTTTTACTGGATGAAGCAACAAGTGCGCTTGATAGTGTTAGCGAAAAAGTTGTTCAAGAAGCACTCGATCGAGCATGCAGAGGTAACAATAATTTTTTTGTGCATATCATGTTGACATGTAATATACTGTATAGGTCGTACAACTATCGTTATTGCTCATCGTTTGACTACAATTCATAAGGCTCATCAAATATATGTGTTAGATAATGGAGCTGTGATTGAGCATGGTACACATAAAAGACTAATGGCAAAAGAAGGAGGAAAGTATCAAGCAATGATCAAATGTCAACAAACGGGAAAAAATGATGATGACAAAGATGATATGATAAACATACAAAAAGCAATAGAAGAAGATGAAAAGTCGATAGGTATATGAATGTGCAAATAATAATGGCCTAGACTTTTCTTCATCTTTTTTCTTTAACAGTTGAACACTCTCGTTTACTTGGCGATAGTGAAATTGCTAAAATGAATGAAGTATAAATACTATTAAAATCATTTATAAAAACTATTATTGATAATCTCTCTTTTAGCAAAATTCGAAACCATTGACAAGAAGATTTGTTCTTTTAAGACTCTTGTCAATGAATAGTCCTGAGTGGATGACTATATTGATTGGATGTATAGCATCTGGACTTTTTGGCGGAGCTCAAACATTATTTGCATTTCTACTTGCAAAAATCGTCAATGTGAGTAATACACCTATAAAATTATCGTGCAAAAAGGTTGACAACAAACGTCGCCTAATTTTGATTTGTTATTGTGCAGGCATTCAAATACTGTTCAACATCAGAACAACGTCATCAAGTATTGATTAGTAGTCTTCTGTTTTTACTTTTGGGTGTTGCCGTATTGATTCTTCGCTTGTTTCAGGTAGAAATACTGCTTCTGAATTTCATCAATGATTCATTCATTCTTTTCTATAGTACACAGCTTTTGCCATATCAGGATCAAAATTAACGCAACGGATTCGCTCGAAAGCCTTCTCATGCCTACTTCGCCAAGAAGTTGCGTATTTTGATCGGCCGGAAAATAGTTCTGGTACGATTTGCGTTCGTCTTTCTTCTAATGCATCAGCCATCCAAGATATGACCGGTGCACGATTAGGAGGGATCTGTACAGCTATCGCGCTACCGTTTTTTGGAATTCTATTTGGTTGTTTCATTAATTGGCAATTGGCATTAATTGTTTTTTGCCCGTTTTTTATCCTATCTCTAATTTCATATGTAGATATATCCTTGCAAGTACGGCTGAATAAAAAATCAGATCAAATTATCGGACGAGCAAGTTCGGTAAGATCAAATTATAATTAATAACCTTTGTGTCATATGAAGAGTTATTTTATTATTTGTTCTGTACAAATCAAACACACTACATTTACTTTATCTTTTACTTATGCAGTTTGCTACTGAAGTTATTCACAATATGCGAACAATAAAACAATTGTCAATAGAAAAGGAAGTTTTAAGACTATATTCCAAACTTATTCATCAAGGATTTAGGTTAATTAGTCAGATTCTATAAATGTATGCATTTTCAATCGATCTTTTTTTCTCATAGATCAACTTGGAAACCTAGAATACTACATTCGATTGCATATGGTATATACTGGATAACAGAGTCATATACGATGGCGTTCGTATATTGGCGTGCTCTTGTCCTTGTGGAAAAGAAAGAACTCGCCTCAAACAGTATTATAATGTAATTGAAACCAAATTTTGATAATTTAGAGATATTGTATTATCTTTTCAATTTTGAGGGTTTTTGCTTTTGTTATTCTTTCATTACGGGCACTAAAATTGATCGGAATGACGTAACTTTCTAAACCTCTACTTTGCTTTTTCTTCTACTGCCTACATTATAGAACTAAACGTATTGCTGCATCAGTCTCAGCTGCTCAAACATTTTTTGATTTATTTGATCGAAAACCAGCTATCGACAATACATCTATTGAAGGACAAGAGTTAGTAAGTGGATATACAAGATCACTAGGTTCTTTCAGTTATAAATAAGCGATGGATATACTATGATTGTGTAGGTTGACTTTCGTGGAGAGATAGAGTTTGATCAAGTCAAGTTCGTCTATCCAATTCGATCAACATCGATTATTCTTCAAAATTTTCAACTGAATATCAAGTCAAGTAAGTCAGAGAAATTTCGATTTAATCATTTTTTAAAAATTTGTATACACTGATAAGATCAACGTGTGGCTCTTGTTGGTATGTTTGAATTAAATATTTCTTTTAAATTTTACTCATGTAATATGATCTATATAGGTGCATCCGGCTGTGGAAAGTCGACAATTATTCAACTTTTAGAACGGTTCTATGATATTACAAGTGGTCAACTAGTTAGTTTGTCTTTTACTTATAGTTTCAGTAATTATATAAAATTTGTCTGTTCAACCTAGCTTCTTGATGGTGTTGATATTCGACAACTAAACCTTCATTGGGTTCGTTCTCAGATTGGCCTTGTGAGTCAAGAACCAATTTTGTTCGATTTAACAATAGCTGAAAATATAACCTATGGCTTAGAAAATGTTTCAATGGAAGACATTGTTAATGCAGCTCGTAGAGCTAACATTCATCAGTTTATTGAGCAATTACCTCAAGTTGATCAATTTAAATTGTATAATGTATCTATTACAATTGTATGATCTTTTTTCTAGGGCTACAAAACAAGAGTAGGGTTGAAAGGTAGTTTCTTGTCTGGTGGTGAGAAGCAACGTATTGCTATTGCTCGAGTTCTTGTTCGTCGACCTAAAATATTGCTCTTAGATGAAGCTACCAGTGCTTTGGATTCACACAATGAGCAAGTATGTTTACTTATTTTAGTTTAGATATCAAAATATCCTCTTCATTTGTCAATTATAGATTGTCCAAGATACTCTTGAAAAAGCTCAAACGGAAGATCCTAATCGAACATTACTCATTGTTGCTCATCGTCTGTCAACAATTCATTCATGTGATTTGATTTGTGTACTGAATAATCGACATATAGTGGAAAGTGGTACTCATTCACAATTAATACAAAGACGTGGAACTTATTATAAAATGCTTACTCAAAACAAATTAGAATGATTATTAGTGAACTATTTTCAAAGTGAAAATGCACCCTGCTAAACATAAAATAAAACTTTGTCTAAAATATCCTATACCTGATGTAGTTACGTTAATTAGGGGTGTGGGTGTGGGGTGTGGGTGTGGGGTGTGGGGTGTGGGTGTGGGATGGGGTGTGGGTGTGGGTGTGGGTGTGGATGTGAGTGTGGAGTGTGGATGTGTGTGGGTGTGGGTGTGGGATGGGGTGTGGGTGTGGGTGTGGGGTGTGGGTGTGGATGTGAGTGTGGAGTGTGGGTGTGTGTGGGTGTGAGGTGTGGGTGTGAGTATTGTTCTTCTCTTAAAACACCCACACCCACATCCGATGGTATCTGCACCCCTTTCGTCTAACGCTTCCCTCTGTTTATGAATATTGGGTTGGCCGTCAACATATGAATCACGAGATTGTGATATCTATGTTGGGATTGTCGTCTACTCTGCATATTGACTAGTGACGTAATCTATATGCTATCGAATGAGTCATCCGAAACAACTAGCCATGAGTAACTTGTTCAGGGTCATTCCATGGGTGGTGCTACTGAGGTTTGAACACAGTACCTTGTGGCTACATGCCGAACAATGTAACCGCTCAATCATCGAAACTGTCTTAAACAACTTTATGATATTCTCTGCTTGGTTCGTAGGTAACTAAACAAAGAAAATAATGAAAAGAGAATCGAGAAAATACAACAATAGAGCGACAAGATATGATGTTTACTTTTTATAATTTAAGAAGTTTTTTTAATTTATCCAAAATATGTTGTATTAGATGAAAATTGAAGAAACAATTTTTCAAGAACTTTTGCATTACGATTTATTTTGATTTTGATAACGGTTGGCTAGAGCTGTCTTTTGATATAATGTTCGCGGAGAGTGCTATTGCAAGGAATACATGCGATTTTTTCTCATCGGAAACTCATCATAGCCGAATTGTAGCACTGATACTTGAGGTGCGACTTACTTTAGTCTTGCGCGTTGTTTCTGAAACTGTCTTCACCCTGCCGATGATGGATGAAGATGTCTAAGCTGATATTCATTGAAGCCTTTGGTTAACAATTTTTTTCCATCAATTTTAGCTTCTATTGGGAAAGCAAAAGAATTAAAAGTATTAAGAATATATTTGCAAAACAAAAAATAACCTCTAAATCGATCTTCTAATGTTTCTAGATCAACTTTTTCCAACCAATCCACTACGTCTTCAATAGACCATCGAGCGACTGAAGCGAGAAAATGAGGCAAGTTTATACAGTTATATATATATACTTGAATCCCGATATTATTTACTCTTCACAATATGGAGGACCTTCAACCACGTCTGCCATATTGTAATCGAAGACCACACTACAAACTATACATGCAAATAAATGTTGTTTTAGTAGAATCGACTGAAAATTTATGAAATAGTTATTGCTGACTTCAGAGTATTATTTGACTTACTTCAGAACATCTCCTTTGAGCATTTTCTCTAGGTATTAATTTTCCACATCGTCGACATTTCAAATAGTTGAAATCTTTATTTTTTTCTACTACGTGCGATCTACTATAATCTCTTTTTTAAATGCTTATGTAAGATAATATTGTTTATACGGGAGCTTCAATGAATAAATGGGAAAAATTAGGAAGAATGGATATTCATTCCTTTAATTAAACTATTGGGCTGTTGCAAAAGTCCTTGCCGATTTTTTTCTTTTCAGCTTTTTTAAATTTTATTGAAACAAAAGACAATCAATCAATAACATATGCACCATTATTATCTATGACATACTTCCATCTCTTAGGCAGATCCATAATACCATCTTCATAGAATTTCTTAGAATGAGACTGAAAGAAAGTTTCGAGGTCCGATTTTAAGTGGTCTTGATCGTCGAAATGTTTCTCGCTTAGATGATTGCGAAGCGAACGGGACAGATGATAATCGGAAGGTGCCAAGTCTGGTGAATACGGTGGATGGGGTAAGGCCTGCCAGCCTAATTCTTCCAGCTTCTGACGGGTGACCTTTGCCATATGGGGTCTAGCGTTGTCAAGAAGCAGACGAACTTTGTGTCTTTCTGGACGGTTGGCTTGCAGAGCGACCTTCAAAATTTTGGGGTTGTTTGCAGTACAGCTCGGAGTCGACGGTGGTGTTAGAAGGAAGAAGTTCGAAGTAGATTATGTCTTGAAAATCCCATCAAATTGACAGCATAACCTTTTTTGAGTGCAGGTCGGTTTTCGGCTCTGGATCTGGCAAATCTCCATGGTTGACCCATTGGCATTTGCGTGTATGGTTAACGTAGAGGACCCACTTCTCATCGCCAGTAACGATTTGCTGGAGAAACCTGTATCGGTTGCGCTTCAACAACAAAGAGTTGCAGATGGTGATCCTCTGTTGGATGTTGTCTGGGGTCAGTTGGCGTGGAACCCATGATCCAAGTTTATTGACTTTCCCTATTTCATGTAAGTAACGATCAAAGTGGAATAGTTGCAGCCGAGCATGGTTGACAACTCACGAGTGGTTAGCCGTGGATTGTCTTCTATCAGTGCTTGCAATCGCTCCACATCACATTCGAAAGGACGTCTGGATCTTGGTTGATCTTCCAATGATATATCACCTTCTTGAAATCTTTTAAACCAATGACGACATGTGCGATCAGCAACTGTACCTTCGCCGAGTGCAGCATAGATATTGCGGGCAGCGGCGCTTGCATTGTTGCCGAGTTGGAATTCATACAAAATACAGTGTCGAATATGAGTAGGAATTTCAGATATTTTTTTATCTACAATTGAGAGCATTGTTAATGTCATTTTACAGCACTCATCAAGTATTTATGATATATGCAAAAGACAGGCATGGATAAGATTCGCAAATGGTTTTAAAAGATTTTTAAAAAAATCGGCAAGGACTTTTGCAACAACCCAATATTATTGTGTTCAAAAGGTTCTTTTTGAATCAGTGATTGGATACTCACGAGGGAACATTCCCAAGTGTCACATCGCTTTTGAGTCGAGCATTTGAGCATTATGTAGGCTCTAATGAGCTATGAATTCTCTGAAAAGAGTTCGTGCCGCTAGCTTCTTGCTGCTGAGATACAACATTTTTACTGTATGTTTTGGAAAAAGCCGTGGTCCCCCTCAGGAACATCAGGAAAAGTGAGTTTTGAGTTTTCGCCTGAAACTTTGCATATAGATAGGCCTCA